CATGATTAGTGTCTCTGTTGGACAGCAGAGACATGATTAGTGTCTCTGTTGGACAGCAGAGACATGATTAGTGTCTCTGTTGGACAGCAGAGACATGATTAGTGCAGCTGTGCTGTTCTTCAGTTCAGCCCTCTTTAGACACTGATAGGGTTTGTTGATATCAGCCACTTCCTTAATCTGCTTTGTCAAGTTTGCGCACACACCCCAAAATTGTCCTCTTCTGTATAAATTTTAAATGTCTAAGTTCTTCTAAGTGTTGTTCAGTACGTTTATTTAAGCAATTCTGTTTTTTGTTAAATGGAAAATACATATTGGACAGTAACATAAATATAAAAATCCAGAATAAAACAAGTTACCTGAGATGTTGGTGAACATCCACAGGACCAACACATGAGCAGGGAGCCTCCTCCAAATCCAGAACAGACCAGCCATTCCTGCAAAGTAACAGCAATGTTAAATGACAGCAAGTAAACAAAACCAGAAGGCAAACAGAGCAGGATAGCTCACAAATGAATGGAAAAAATATCACATGTCTTCTTTATGTGAAATGTAGTGAAACCCCATGTAAACACAAACATCACCCGCCAAGTTACAAGCCAGAGTTTTAGACGAAGATGAGCACTGATAAATGACAAACTTGCAGCCATTTTGATTAAACAATGAAGATAAGATGTCACACTAAAAGTACAGCACGTGTTGTGAACGACTATCAGTTACTATCACAACAACTTTTAGGTCAGTGTTTGCAAAACTGAGAAAACTAAAGTTGATTGGCTGCAGCAGCTATCTTGAATAAGAGTGACTCCAAGAGTCAATCAGTTGGAGATGTTCATCCAGTGATTGCATTTTGAAAGTTTTGTCCAAATCTGTCCTCTGGGTCATGAGATAAGTGGACATAAATACAAATAAAAAAAAGCAAAACATCATCACCTTCACAAGATAAAGAGCAGTGGCCGAGAACATCCAGAGAAGGAAGTGAGGAACAACAAGCTGTCTTTTTTGGTGCTGGCTGTGCACACTGAAGAAAATAAACAAGTCAACACTGACGGGAATCAAACACACACACACACATGTATCTGTGTTTGGACACACATCAGCCACCGGAGCACGAACTGTCTGAAATCAGAACCAAACTCCATCCATCCTTCACTGCTGCAGAAACATCAACTGAGCTTTTAATTTTTACTAAAACCATCCATCCATCATCTTTACACGCTTATTCCTTTTCGGGGTGCGGGGGTCACTGGTGCCCATGTCCAGCCATCACTGTGCGAGAAGCAGGGCACAACCTGGACAGATCTCCAGTCCATCACAGGGTCACACATGATTTTGTCATGCTGTAAATTTGAGAAGTTAAAAATTTTCATCAACTTGGGCTGGGGCTTGTCTTTAAGGGGTGATTATAGGACATGTCCAAACCATCTCAGTGTGGTCTCTCTAACTTTATCTCCCAGTTGTCCAATCTGTGCTGTACCTCTGATGATCTCATTCCTAATCTTATTTATACTTGTCACTCCTAAGGAGAACCTCAACATCTTCATTTCTGCTACTTCCAGTTTTGTCTATTGTCTTTTAGTCCATGTCTCTGTCTCCAGACTATAAAACATAGCTGGTCTCACCACTGTCTTGTAAACTTTTCCATATGTAAACAATACACCTATGCAGCCACTTTTTTTTGTCACAAATCACTTCTGAAACTTTTCTCCATCCACTCCATCCTGTCTGGACTCTGTTTTTCACCTCTTTATCACATTCCCCATTTTCCTGGACAGTGGACCCCAAGTACTTGAAGTCCTGCACCTTTGTGACCTCTGCTCCTTGTAGCCTCACTGTCCCATCTGCCTCCCTCTCATTCACACACATGTACTCTGTCTCACTACATCCGACTTTCATTCCTCTTCTTTCAAGTGCATACCTCCACCTCTCTAAGTTCTCTTCCACCTGTTCCCTGTTCTCATCACAGATATAGCCCACGGGGATTTGCAGCTACTACCAGCTCAAATTTGAGCTTAATAGCTGCATAATTGACAGAATTAAAGCCTAATTTATGTTTATTAAGGTCGATGAGCTGTGAGGATCATCTTGAAGTGGAATGACTCCAGAAATTAATCTGTTTACATCATGTACATCTGATGAATACTTTCTGACAGTCTCATTAAAATCAATCCACTAATCTATGAAATGTTTTGCTGACAGAGCGACAAACAAAAATATTTATTGACCAGAAAATCAAAAAATAAAATAAAAATAGTGCAAACACATTTTGGTCTTAAGCTGCAGAGAAGATGTTAGAGAAACAAATGAAGTTCAAAACAAAACAAAGCTCAGTGTTTGATTATTTCTTTTAATTATTAATATTTTAAATTTGACAAGTTGTTGCTGAGCCTGAGTGCAGCACAGATACTTTACAGGCTGATTCTGTGGATTTTGTTTAGTACAGAAATAAAAACAAAACTATGAAGTAAACGTTACGCCTAAACTAAACTTGCACGTGACCCAAGCTAAACTAAAACACAATAAAAGCAGGTGGTAGTAATGACAGAATAATTAAAAACACAAACAGTGTACTTACTGTGAACAGTCAATTGAACAAAGAGCAAATAAAACGCACAGCTTCGGGATTTAAAAAAACCCAACTCATTTATCAGGTTTGTTTCTTCCACAAGTGACAAGAAGTTTTAACTTCCTCCGGCTGTGATTTTTTCTTCTTCTACGTTTTTAATTCGTCATCTTCAATGATATGGATGTAACAAACTAAACTGTTCACTTCCGCCCTCTGCTGGTCTGGAGTAGTTTTACATGTTGATGTTTTATGGAATTTACATTTGTTTGTCTTTATCTTTTTTTAATAAAATAGTAAGAAATTAATACGCTCTCACCAAATAGGAACCATGTTAATTTGTCTCTAATGAAACCTAATTTCCAATGATTTTATAACAGTACTCGACACGACACTGATTGCAACACTTATCAGAGAGAGTCAGAGTCAGAGTTTCTTGATTGTCGTCCCACCAGACGAAATTATGTACACAAGGTCCCAGTTACATCCAACAATAAAGTGTGAAAGAAAAACAGTAATAAGATCTAAGAAAAACATCAACTAAAAATAAGCTAAGCACTAATAGCATAAAAACAAGAAAAACATTTTGTTGAACAGCAGCATGAAAATGAGTCTGTCTGAGCAGATGAGCATGAATGAACACATCAACATGAAACAGATCAGCAGCAACATGACGTGATTTTTCACAGTGATTGTTCTGGTTAGAGATTCATGAGTCTAACAGCCGCAGGCTAGAAGATGTTCCTCAGTCTAGTGGTTCTATACTTCCTGCCTGAGGGGAGCAGAGAAAAAAGTGTGTGTGCTGGGTGAGTGGGGTCCTTCATGATGCAGGTGACCCTCTTCCTGGATCTAGAGGTGTAAATGTCTGTGATGGAGGGGAGACTGACTCCAAGAGTCTTCTGTGCAGCCTTCACCACTCTCTGCAAAGCTTTCTTTCTGCAGCTGTGCAGCCTCCATGAAACACATTGATGCTGAAGCACAGGATGCTCTCCACTGCACACCTGTAGAAAGAGGTGAGGACTGAGCTTCCCAGACCAGCTCGTCTCAGCCGCCTGAGGAAGTAGAGTCTCTGATGAGTTTTCTTGATCAGGCTGGAAGTGTTGTTGCCCCAGCTGAGGTTGTCATTCATGTATACACCCAAGTACTTGTAGCTGGAAACCACTTCCACCGCAGATCCTCTTATATTGGGGGGGGGGGGGGGGGAGTAGGTGTGTTTGTTCTTTCTGAAGTCCACGATCATCTCCTTCATCTTCTTCACATTGATGTGAAGGTTATTCTCCTTGAACCAGCTCTGCAGGTATTTCACCTCCTTCCTGTAGCTGTACTCATCGTTGTTTGTGATGCATCCCACCATCGCTGTATCATCTACAAACTTTACAATATGACAGCCTAGATGGGTAGCTGCACATTGCACAATCATATGTGAGCAGAGTAAACAGGAGAGGGCTCAACCCACATCCCTGAGGAGAGCCAGTGCTGAGGGTTATGGTGGAGGAGGAGAAGTTGTGGATCCTCACAGACTGTGGTCTTGGTCTGTTTGTTAAGAAGTCTAGTACCCAGTTGCAAATGGAGGGGCTTAGTCCTAGTATGGATGGTTTGTCCATCAGGGTTTGGAGGATCATGGTGTTGAAGGCAGATGTGAAGTCCACAAAGAGCATACAGACGTAAGAGTCTTTCTGTTCCAGGTGGATGAGAGCAGTGTGGACCACAGAGGAGATAGTGTCCTCTGTTGATCGGTTCTCGTGGTATGTGTACTGGTATAGTAATGGTATCATAATTGGTATAATCCATCCATTATCTTTACCCGCTTGTTCCATTTTGGGTCACGGGGGTCGCCGGTGCCCATGTCCAGCAATCACTGTGCGAGGGGCGGGGTACACCCTGGACAGGTCTCCAGTCCATCACAGGGACACATAGAGACAAACGAGACAAACAACCATTCACTCTCTCACTCACACCTAGGGACAATTTAGAGTTACCAATCAGCCTAACATGCATGTTTTTGGTCTGTGGGAGGAAACCGGAGCACCCGGAGAAAACCCACGCATGCTCGGAGAGAACATGCAAACTCCACCCAGAAAGGCCCCTGGACCGGGGTTTGAACCAAGGACCTGCTCACTGAGAGGCAGCAGCTCTACCAGTTGCGCCACCGTGCTGCCCAATTGGTATAATATAGTTATGTAATATTATTTATGTTTTTTTTGTTTGTTTTTTCCTGTTTTTTATCTCCCATCCTTGCTACACTTCAGTCCAGTAGAGGGCGGTAAAGCAGTTTAGAGGAATCCGCCAAACGCCCAAAAACCACCGAAGAAGAAAAACCGGAAGTGTTCTTTTCGCTAGGTGACCCGTGCTGAAGAAAGTGGGCTAACTCAGCTGCGATCCGCTGATCTGTAAGGACTAAAAGTGGCATTTCGGTGAATCTAGTTATCACGAATGGCGAACATTTTCTTGAAGAAGTTATATTTCCCACCGAGTGTCCTCTCGCGGTAAGACAGAGTTCTCTTCGCACCGGAAGAACAAACGTGTTTGTCTGACAGCCCGTTTTCACATCACTTATTTCCTTTGCTGCTTTGTGGGACTGCGTGTGTTTGTTGGCAGGAGCGTTTGTCCATTGTCCCGTACAGGCGGTTCCGGGTCCGAGGTCCGGGTTTCTTCCCTGCACTGCCACGCAGCTCTGCAGAACTCCAACAGAAGCTCGGTGGCTCGCTGCACTCGGCACAAGTATGAACGGACGTACCCCGTGCTGCTGGTCCGTCCGGATGGCTCTACAGTCAACATCAGATACAAAGAACCCAGACGCATCCTTCTGGTCAGAACCGAACTCTGAGTGATGCTGCTCAGTTGAGGATGACTCTCATCTACTTTAGCAGAGAAAGAAAGAGGAGTAAGGATGCTGTTTGTTTGTTTTCTCTCTGTCTTGTCAGATGCCGGTAAATCCGTTCAGTCTGTCTGAAGAGGAGCGGCGAGCTCGACTGAAGAAGAGAGAAGTGAAGCGTAAAACAGAAGAAGACACGCACTATGAAGACGACTTCCAGGCGGACACCTACAGTCACCTGTGGAGGAAGAAGTAACCTTTCTGGTGGTGAGACTTCTGAACGTCTCAGCGACATGCCATTTCCTGCATGTAAACAAACAAGTAAATAAATAAAGTTCTGATCCGTTCTGCAAAAGAACATCTTGGAAACATACCCGGGGCGTCATTGTTTTACAGCACGTTTCTGTATTTACATTAAACTCATTTGGGTTGAAACTCGTATTTACGTACAATAAAACTCAGAGTTTGTCTCGACTCTTTTAGAGACTCGTGGAGTTTTAATGAGTTTTCTTCGTTAGTGTTTCTCTTGACTTCTTTCCCATAAAGCTCAGACCTGTGAAGAACTCGGGCAGGTTGCTGTAGGCTCAGTAGCTCCTGTCTCATCTGCTTAAATCTCTCACTGCTCCTGTGAGTGCAGCCTGTGTCCCACAATCCTTTCATTTTTAAAAATTTTATTGTATGCTCATTGAAAGACAGACATTTATGGTATGTTCGTAAAGTTTCTTTTGTCCTGCCCATAATTTCTGATCCGCTCAAGATAATTTAATACAACTTGATACATGCACATCGTCACCAGTCGGAGTGTCACTCTATGTAACTAGTTTTGGAGACCTCAAACTAATAAAACTACAAAAACCAACTTGTTTCCTTTTTGACTTTCAGGTAAAACCAGATGTTTACATACACTATAAAATGACCCTGAACCATTTTAATAATCTGACATTAAATCTGTCCTGCCTGTTCTGTTTAGGGTCCGTTAGGATTCACAAATTATATTTGACAGATTGAGAGGGTTTTATGACTTTCTTTAGAGTCACAGGTTTTCATTCATTTTCTTGGTGTTTAGCAGCTTTGTCTTTAAACACTGATTTGGGTCAAAGGTTCTATTTGCTGGATTTTGTCCTGCTCCTGACAGAACTGCTGGAACTGAGTCTGGTTTTCAGGTCTGCCCACAAAGTTTCTATGGACTGAGATCAGGGCTTTGTGATGGCAGCTCCCAAACACTGACTTGTGTCCTTCAGCCACTTTGTAACTAACCTGAGCGTGCGCTGAGGGACATTGTCCATCTGCTTTCATATTTCAGCATAATCTTTCTTCATCCCATGAGGAATGAAGTGCACCGATCCTTCCTGCAGTGAAACAGCCCCACAACATGATGCTGCCACCCCCGTGCTTCACAGCTCAGACAGTGTTCTCAGCTTCCCCGTTTCCTCCAAGTGTAACGATGGTCAAACAGTTCAGTTTCATCAGACCACAGGACATGTCTCCAAGCATTAAGCTCTTTGTCCCTGTGTGTCTGTCTTCTGTCTCTTATGTTGCTTTGGGAGTGATGTCTTCGTCCTCGCTGAGTGTCCTTTCAGACCATGTTGGTCCAGGACTCGCCACTCTGTGGATAAAGACTTGAGCTCTGCAGCTTTAGTTCTGGGTCTGATACACATACTTTCGGGGACACAGAACCATCTCCTTCCTGCGTGGTACGATGGCAGCACGTTCCCGTCATGTTTATACTTGTGCATAATTATTTGAACTGATGAACCTTCAGGTATCTGGAAATCACATGATGAACCAGAGGTGTGGAGGTCAACAGTTCTGATCTCTTGGCTCGTTTCTTTGGAGTTTCCCATGAAGCCACACAAAGAAGCAAAGTGTTTGTTGTCAGCTAACCAACAAAAAGCTTCCAAAACCATGACATCATCATCAGAGCATGCCCAAATAGTGTGGCAGAGTAGGTAAACATCTGGCTTTAAGTGTACTTCTGATATCACTGAACTGGACTCTTCATGTCAAACCTATAATTTCATCATCTATAATAATTTACAACAGCTGGACGTGAATAATCAGAGTAAAGTGAAAATTAACATCTCCTTTACTGTTTCAGACAGAAACAACAACAACTTCTACAGTAGTTCTACCAAGGTTTGAAATAAACACCAAGTTGTGTGTTCTTGACCATTCGTTATATTTACCGTCATCCAGTCTAAAATGATTCCTATCACTGTAGACCGGAAACATTTGTGTTTGACATCGAAACATGAATCTGAGACAAGAGAGCAACCTGTCAGCTTTGATCTCTAGCCAGATGTTTTCATCCTTCATGATGAACATTTGTAACAAAGCACCAAGTTTTTAGGTGAGCTGGTGTAAACGGTATACTGAAGATTAAAAAAAAAATCAAAATCCATGTGCTCTTCTGTCTGTACAGAATGTCAACAACCAGAAAGTGACCAAATGATGTACAGGAAGTAGAATACACAGCTTTCATTTTAGAATTTCAGACTCTTCCAGATTCATGAAAAATACTAAAACTTAACGTTATATATTTCAAGACAATGAAGAGACCTGAAATCACAAAAGGTGGAACAGAGAAATGACACACATTTGACAGAGTAACTTACTATGAATTTAGAATTATTAGAATTATTTATTAGAATTATTATATTTAGAATTTAAATGTGAATTTAGAGCGAGAAAAGGCAGTTCAAAAGTGCATTTTTAAGTGAACAGGAAGCTGTAGGTATAATTTTGTCCAGAAGGTGGCAGCACATCAACTGTTGACGGGATGGCGACTGTCAAGGAACCACAAAAGAAGAAAATCCACCGAAGAAGAAAATCCACCGAAGGTTTGCGTTGACCTTTTTAGCCGAAAGATGGGATATTTGGAAGATCCACAGGGTATCGACTGTGTTCAGAAAACATGGATCACAACTAAAATTGGCTTGGTTGTAGGTAAATAGCTGCTTGTAGAAAAGTTTTTTTAATTTTGTTTTTAATCTGTTTTTTGAGCTTTTTAATCGAGGTTAAGTGTCAATGAAGCGCTGAGTGGAGTTAGCATTACAGTCTGCTGGCTCCTATATATGTGAATGTTTCAGTTCAGTGCCTTGAGATGACTTTGTTGTGACTTTGCGCTATATAAATAAACTGAACTGAACTGGAGCGCTTATGCTAACTAGCACACTGAAGCTAACAAGGACTTATTTAAAAAAAAAATCACAATTCTGTGGAGATGATTGTCGATTCGGTTCAGTGGGCTCACAGAGCAGGTGGTGCTGATCTGGGCATGGTTGAAGCTTCAAGTTCTTGCAACATTCACCCTCTGTTAAATGTCTTGATGACATTAAGGCATGGATGACTTCAGTTCTTTTTCTAACGATCAGAAAACTGAAGTTAATGTGTTTAGCTCTTTCTCTACTGCTGTCTCTGTTCCTGTAACCTTGACTCTTTTGAGCCATATCTTAAGCAGTCTGTTACAAATCTTGGGATGGTTTTAGACTCTGATTTTAAGTTTAATAACCAGATTAACTGTTCTGCATAAATCTTCTTCCAGTTAAGGCAGATGGCTAAGCTTAAGTCATTGTTGACCAACAGATCTGACCTTGAATATATAGTCCATGTCTTCATTACAACCCGACTAGATTACTGTAACACGCCGCTTTATATTGGGGTCAGTCAGGTCTCTCTTTCACGTCTCCAGCTCATCCAAAATGGCTAACAGGAACTTGTAGGTTTCATATTTCACCAGTTTTGTCCTCCCTTCACTGGCTCCCTGTGGGTGTAGAATAGATTTTTAAATTCTCCTGTTGACCTTTAAGTGCATAAATGGCCTTGCACCCTCAGATCTCTCTGACCTATGTTCCTTCTTGGGTGCTGAGATCATCTGACCAGCTGCTTTTGGTTGTACCAAAAATCAGGTTGAAGCTCAGAGATCGGGCTTTTTCAGTTGTGGGACCTAAACTGGAACAATCTGCCCCCCAACATTAGTTCACTTCACTTCCTGTGTTTAAATATATTTTGAAAACTAGGGGCTCCCGATTTCCTTAATTTTGGAAATCGGCCAATACTTGCATGAGAAACTGATTTTACCAATTTTTTTTATTTTTACGTTGTTTTTTTTAGTTTTAACAAGAATTGTTTAAACTTCGTTTATATTTCAGAGCACTACCTCATGGCCAGTTAAATATTGTTCAAGGGTATATTTTTCAATAAAATAATACTGGAAAATTGAAAGTGCATTGTGACCTTATAACACCTGACAGTGTATTGTTTTGTATTTGATGTTTTTCTTTTGATGCTTTAAATTAATGTTTTTTTTTTTTTTATTACTACTTTTTTTTTTAACTGTTAAGCACTTTGGTAACAAGAGCTGCTTTATAAATAAATTTGACTTAACTAATAGAGGTTTCAATGACTCGAGCTCGATGAGGATATCCGGCAGTCAGAACACGAAGTGCAACACGTCCCACCAGTCTGCATGTTCCAGCCTTCAAATACGAACAGTTCTCTTACATTTTGTGCTGTGAAACATTTAATTGGAGCTGAACATTCATGAGTTGTGCTCTACGTTTAGAGACGGATGTAAATTTTATCCATGCAGCAAAAGTTGAACCTCCAGTCAGTCTGATTTCTGCCAGGAAAAGAGTTTCTATTTTTATTAAACTAAATGTTTTTTTATACTAATGCAACCAGTTCACTTTGTGGATGCTGAGTCTGAACTTTGTTTAGTTCAGCTGTTCTGACCTCTTTCTTTTCTGGTTCTGTTTCAGGTGTCGCTGGTTCATTGTATAAGGAGATCCAGCCTAAGTCTGGTGTGATTATGCTGCAGCGGGTCGCCAGTAGTGCAGTAATGATGGGTAAACGCATTCATGTTCAACACCTCTGAACACTAACCTGCAGTGGTGGAACAAGATAAAAACCAGTTGAGAACAGAATAAAACTGTCGCACTGTCAAGATGTAGAACTGTGCTGAAAGAATCCCTTCAGATGTTTGATGGCTAAATATTTTGTCATGCAGCTCAGACAGACATGTCAGGCACCTTCCCCAGCCGTGCTGCAGCTGCAGTTAGGGTCAAAGTTATTACCGTAGTCCCCTAGGAACTATTGAACATTTCCATAAAACACTGGCCTGTATTTGCAATATTTATAAAATGTTTAGTAAATCATGCATTTGACCCCATTTTTGTAGTCTTTGTAATGTAAAATAAATATTCAAGATGTCTTTATGTTAAATATGGTCAAAATTATTAGCTCCCATGTAATTTTATGCTTTCTAAAAACCACAACTGAGCAATCAGCACTCAAACACAAGTTTTCCTACATTTTGTGGGAAAACGTCAGATGCAAACAAGAATCCCTGGATCTCTGCAAAGATGATTGTTGCTGAACCGTCTTCTGGACTTGATGCTTCAGTTAAGACTTTTCTATTTCGTATAAGCTTCGCCCTTTAAGGCTGTTGCTGATGGGTTTATCCCGCTATGCGTAGCATTGCACTGAAAAAAAATTAGTCCACGCCCACCTGCTATGTGGGCCCCACCCGGTCCGTATAAATTACGTTAAGAGCGGGAAATCGGCTCCCATTTTTTCTTCAGCAAGCTGATAGTACTGTCAGAAGAACGAAGAAGGAAAGTTGTGTAGATGACCAACCTTTGTTAAGAATGCTTGGCCCGGCACGTCGACCTCCGGTCGTCCGGTGAGTTCTCCTCCCCGAGGAGAAGCTGACGAGCAGTCTTGTTTCAAGGTAAGCGCCAAGGAATATTTCTCAGTGACAGGTCGCTACACGCTGGACAACATAATCTTGTAATTTTCCTCTTATCGCCGACCCTCGGAGCGAATCGGATGGTTCCTTCGGGGCAGGCGGCGCTCAGCTGCAGCCCCCGCTGCTCATTCCCTCCTGGAGAGCGTAGTGTCGGTGGAGGGGGGCTGAGTGAATGCTCACCCCATCCCACCTCGTTTCGCATCGGCGATCACACCGCTCCCGGCCGACGGCGCCATCTGGGGTTGCTCGGCCTAACCCAGGAGGCGGCTGACATGAAGGGACCTTTTTTACGTCCCACGCCTTTCCCCGCCAGTTCGGATGATCCGACAAGAAGGTTGTTTTTACTAGGTTCCATTCCGGCTCATCGTCTTGATCTACCTGGCCTCGTTTTCCCAACAGGACGTCCTACGGGCGAGGCCACAGCTGGTTTTTCCTGGTAGATTGGGGGGGCCGGTCTCCACAGTCCGCACCCATCTCCAGAGCAGGGGTTCACCGAGCGGAAAGTCCCCCCGTGCCCCTTGGAGCCAAGCCTGACGGAGGCGTCATTGGAGCAAGATGTTCCAGGTGGACCAGCGTCCCGTGCCTCCGGTTAGCGTAACCGAGACGGTGACACCGCTCTCCAACTGAGCTCACCAGCATGCGTTCCAGACGGCCGCAGCGAACAACACGTTATGCTGTTGGCGTACATGTTCAGAGGTGGGAGGAGACAACGCTCTTGTCTGCAGAGCAGCTGACGTCACCCCCAACCGGTGCGCCTCTTTGCTGTCTGCCGGCTCGCATCGCAGCCGGAGGACGAAGTTTTTCAGCGTTTCCCTGAGACCACCAACAGATGGCGGTCTAGGACAACAAATGGCAGAGCGGTTGTGGCAGAGAATGTTTGTAGGTGACACGAGTTTGGAGTAAAACATCATTTAATGATGAAAGTGTCCATTTTTACCCAGTTTGTCAGCTTAGATGATCTGACAGTGGCTCTCTCTCACACCCTCCACACGAAATGAGCCGGTGGCAAGACAGTTCCACGGCCGTCGCGCTGAGCTTCAGCCCGTCCGGCCCTCTTCATCCCGGCAACAGAGTGTCCAACGTTTTTCCCAGAGACCCCCAGCAGACGGCGCCCTGGGCCAACGAATCCCAGAGCTCATGGGGGGAAAAGATTCAGAATGATGGTCTGCAGAGGGTGTGTGTAAATATGACACAAATGTTGAATAAAACATCATTCAATGATCAAGTGTCTGTTTCTAGCCAGTCTGTAAGCTCGGATGGACTCACAGCGGCTGCGCACACACCCTCCACACATAACGAGACGGTGTCTTTAATAAGGGTTTTTTAAACTCACCGTTGCTCCAAGACATGACGAGACGCTCACACCTCACAATGGTAAGCGAAATAACTCGTTGTCAACCCGAGCTGCACGATCCTTACCCAAGCGGTGTCAAACGCGAACTCACGCGACGCAAACAGCCTTCACCCAAACGCCGTTGCGTTGATGATGGTGCACACACAGCTCCCCGGCGTTCACCGGCCCACATCGGCATAAATGTGGGACCGCAGGTCGGGTCAGTGGAGGACCACGCTCTCAGTGAGAGCGACACACGCCGCATCGAAGCAAACACGCGGCGCAGGCAGCCTTCATCCACCGCGTCTCAGCGCTCGGCCGCTCACGGCAGCATAAGCGTGAGACAGCTGAGCAAACCCAGTGATGAGTTTCGCTTCCAGCGAGAGCGGCGCGCATCCCACCAGAGAAAACGTGTGCTCCCGCGGGGCTCGCAGTCTTCACTCAAACGGCATGGCGTAGATGAAGTCACACTCACACCTTCGCAGCGCTCGCCCGCTCATAGCGGCATAGATGCGAGATCTCAAAGCGAACCCAGCGCAGGACACCGCATGCGGCAGGAGCAACACGCGTTTTCACCGCAGTGGCGTCAAACGCGCAGCCCCACGGCGTCATCATCTGCCACGCTTCGCCTCAGCACACACCGGCCCACCTAGACATGAAGGTTGGTCCGCGGTCCGAACGCAGCACACGGGTGCGTTCAGAACCCTTTCAAGGAAGCCTCGCCTTGGGTCACGCGGAAAACATTCCCGCGACACATGACGGCTGTCGTGGTGGTGGACTGGATGACATCCGTACAAAACATGACGCATCACTTAAACGCACGTCCACTCCATGAACGTTACGCGGAGTGGCTAAAAACATGCTCGCCAGACAGATGGATGGCCAGGGTGTTATGCAAAGGTTACACGTTTCAATTTGCAACCCGACCCCCTCCGTTCGGAGGAATTTTAGAGACGGTCCTGTCATCACCAGACCAAATCTCATCCCTAAATGCAGAAGTCCAAGAGCTTCTGATAAAAGAAGTAATCTCCAGAGTTCCCAACGGAGAGAAAATCATAGGGTTTTACTCACGTTACTTCCTGGTTCCCAAACGGACCGGAGGGATGAGACCGATTTTGGATCTGTCAGCTTTCAACAAGGTGATCATGGACAGACCGTTTCACATGTTGACAACCAGACAGCTGTTGGACAACATCCAGAGAAACGACTTGTTTGTTTTCCGTTGACCTGAAAGATGCTTATTTTCACATACTGATCATCCCAAAACACAGAAAATTCCTGCGTTTCTCCTTTCAGGGGATGAAGTATCAGTACAACAGGCTGCCGTTCGGTTATCCTCTCGCGCCTCGTACGTTCTCAAAAGTGTGTGGAGACGGCCCTGCATCCGTTACACAGAGCAGGGATGAGAGTTTTGTTTTACCTGGACGACCTGCTGTCACGCTCCAGACAGGAAGCAGTAATGCAAGCTCAGGTGTTGACATCACACCTGTTAAATCTGGGCTTCGCCATAAATTGGAAGAAAAGCTCGATTTTCCTGGCCCAGACAATTGTTTATCTGGGAGTGGAGCTAACTCAACCACCATGAGGGCTTGTTTATCACAAACGAGAATCTACACTTTAAAAGACCAGCTCCGTCTCGTAAGACCTGGCAGAGTGGTAACAGCTGTTTTCCATCATGAAGCTTTTAGGAATGATGTCATCAGCTCACACAGTGGTCCCGCTGGGTTTATTACACATGAGACGCATCCACAGGTGGTTTGCGCGTCTGCGTGTGGATCCAGAAAAACAAAAGAGACTGATGATCACTGTTCCTCCCTCCGTGAGGGCAGACCTCCGCCACTGGGGAAACACCCTGGTTCTGTCAGAAGGAGTCCCCGTCAGCAGACCCACGTCACACGTGCCAGTCTTCATGGACGCGTCGCTGTCAGGCTGGGGGGGGGACATGCCTATCTCAAGCAGTAGGGTTGCTGTGGCTCCATCACACATCTGCCCACATAAATGTTTTGGAGTGCCACACGGTGCTGAACGTGATTCAACACTTTGCTCCTGTGCTGCAGAATCAACACGTTTTGATTCACACAGACAACATGGTGACTGCTGCTTTCATAAACTGGCAGGGGGGTGTGCGTTCAGCCCAGATGTTACACATTGCGCGAAATCTACTGTGTTGGTCTCACCAAACTCTGCTCTCCATCAGAGCAGTTTACATACCCGGTGTTCTGAACAAAGGGGCAGATGTGATGTCCGGGGGCGGCCCACGTCACGCGGACTGGACTCTCCATCCAGACCTGATGATTCAGACGTGGCAGAAATTTGGCAAAGCAGCTGTGGACCTGTTTGCGACACAAGAAAACGCTCAGTGTCAACTATGGTTTTCTCTGAGCCCGCGAGACGAACCACCACTGGGGGTGGATGCGTTTGCTCACAGCCCATGACCCAAAACGCTTCTGTATGCGTTTCCTCCACCTCCTCTGATTTTACGGTTCCTGAACCGAGTTCAGGAGGAGGGATTGACAGCTCTCCTGGTGGCCCCCGAGCGTGTGAACGCACCATGGTTCCCAGTCCTGCAACGCCTGCTGTCGGGGCGCCCGTGGAAACTGCCATGGAGGGAGGATGCTCTCCTCCAGGCAGGAGGAGCGATCAGGAGTTACCCAGAAATAGGCCAGCACCTGTGGGTCTGGCCGCTGAGCGGATCCGCTTAGAGAGGATGGGTCTCCCACAGGATGTAGTGCGCACAATCCAGGATTCACGTGCTGCATCTACCACAGCGCTGTACACATCAAAGTGGACAGTTTTTCAGCGCTGGTGTACTGAGAAAGGTGTAGAGGTCATCTCATGTCCACTAGGTGGCATGCTGTCCTTTCTACAACAGCTGATGGACAGAAATTTGGCGTCCAGCACGATTAAAACGTACGCTGCAGCCATCTCTTCCTGCCACGAAGGGCTCGGAGACAGAACAGCTTTTAATCATCCGCTGATGAAGCGTTTTCTAAAAGGTGTACAGAGACGCAGGTCTGTTTCACTCACTCGTTCCACAGTGGGTTTTAACGCTGGTCCTGCGAGCCCTGATCAAAGCTCCATTTGAGCCTCTGGATCAGGTCCCAATTAAATTCTTGTCTCTTAAAACAACCCTGCTGTTGGCTTTAACATCCGCTAAGAGGGTAAGTGATTTATCTGCCCTCTCTGTTGCTCTGTCATGTCTTAGAATTCAAGCTGACGGCAGCTCAGCTGATTTAAGACCAAATCCAGCTTTTATGCCTAAAACATCACGAGCTCTTTTTAATCAAGAGCGATATCGTTGGAGGGGTTTTTTCCTTCCCCCCCACAAATCAGAAGAAGAGGCGTTTTTCCATCTTCTCTGTCCGGTGCGGGCGTTGACGTTTTACATAACACGCACAGCTGCAATGCGTCAAACTCAACATTTGTTTGTGCATTATAGAGATGCATCTGCAGGTCGCCCGTTATCCACCCAGCGTTTGTCACACTGGCTGTGTGAGGCCTTTTCTGAAGCTACAGAGCATCAGATCTAGAGCCTCCTGTCAACCTCAGAGCACACTCGACCAGGGGTATCGCATCTTCGACTGCCTTGCATAATGGTATGACAATGCAGGACTCTTTGCACTGCGGCCGCGTGGTCAACACCCTGCTCATTCATTCGCTTTTATCTACGTGATGTGACGGCTCGTTCCATGACACATTCTGTCCTTAGTGTTTTAACAGAATGAATATTGTTGTTTCATGGAACCCCGTTTAACTCACATCTGTCTGCATGCTTCACAGTGTGAGATGTTATCAGTCACAAGTTGTGACTGTTATTTGGTTCTATTGTCATTAATCAGTTCACGACTATTGTTACCAATCAGTTCTTCTGATTAATAATCAGCTCTCTTGTTATTATTAATCTGTTCATACGGTTCAGCCGTAAACCGGTTGGTTCATGGCTCTTTTCAGCGTTTTTCCCTCCCCGTTGATGTTTCCGGGGCGTTCATGCATTCAGAATGCATAGTTACACAACATGCATCTGTGCATGGCACACATAATTACGCAATGCGTAATTACGCACACGGGGAGCTGAGTGACAAGACGTTTTTTGGGCAAGCTTCTGCTTCATACTGTGTTCGAATGGACCCAGTGAGGCGAGGACAAAGGGCGAAGCCTATACGAAATAGAACGTTGGTTATGTACTGTAACCCCAGATTCTATGAGTATAAGCGTAGCCCTTTAAGCGTCGGGCCTCACTGGCTCCTAAATGGCTGAAGAAAAAGCTATTTTGGGAGCCGATTTCCCGCTCTTAACGTAATTTATATGGACCGGGTGGGGCCCACACAGCAGGTGGGCATGGACTAAATTTTTTCAGTGCAATGCTACGCATATCGGGATAAACCCATCAGCGACAGCCTTAAAGGGCTACGCCTATACTCATAGAATCTGGGGTTACAGTACGTAACCAACGTTTTGTGTGGACTCTGCATCGTGGTAGACTTTTTGGTCATTGTCAAGAAAAAAAATTAAAAAGCTCACAGCTGGACATCAGAGTTCGTCTGAAGTTTACGTGGGAAACTCTTAGACATGGGGGTGAGTTTTCTTAGTTGGTTCTTTGGTCTGATGAAACCAAACTCTCTGGGCACAAGGATGTCCGTTTTGTTTGGCAAGAGAAGGACAAGACCTTCAACCCTGAAAATGCTCCCACAGTGACACATGGTGGTGGAAACATAATACTGTGGGACTGTTTTGCTGCTTCAGGCACAGGAAACTATTTTTAAGTGCTGGGAACCTTGAAAAATGACGAGTATGTTGATACTGATTTTAAATTGAGACGTTTGGAAACACTGCTTTATTAAAAAAGTTCAGCTGTATTGATTAGTCTGGGTCAGGGTTCTGGTTCAGGGTGTTGCTGCGTCTGAACATAAATGTTTACATCAATCCAGGTGAATGTTTCAGTCTGAATTTCAAAACGTCCTGTTTTGTCCTCCCCCAGCCACCATGGGCGCCATCTTTGGGGTGACCACTTGTATCAGCGCTGAGCTGCGAGATGACCCGCACGGCCCCCTGAATTTTTTTTTGGGGGGCTGCGCCTCGGGGGTCTTCCTTGGAGCAAAAAGTGCGTATCAGTTTTAAGTTGTAATCTACTCTTCTGTTTTTAAAAGTTGGTTTTTGGTTCATCAAAGGTGTAATTCTGTTTTTTGTTGTTTGTGGTGAATTATTGATTGTCTCAAACCCAAGGATCAGTACTTTCAGTACTGAATGTGATTGGCTTATATATTTTCTGAAGGCCGAAGATCAGGTTTATTGTATTCATTATTTGAACTGTGTGTGTCTCTCCAGCCCACAGTATTTCGACTGGTACAAGCTCCTGTCTCGGTCTGGGAGCTGTGGCCTATCTCACTAAAGCTGGTAATGTAGAAGGATGGAGAGTTTGGGGAGCTCCAAGAGTTTAGGACGAAGAAAACTTCAAGATCAAACTCTGTAAAAAAAATAAATAATGTAATTCAATAACGTTTATGTGAAATTTGTTTGATTTCAGTTTTTAAGAACTCTTTATTTTTCTCTGGTCTTTGGGACGAGACAAACCTCGTTGTTGTCCCTCTTCAGTTTGTCTCCGTAAAGAAACGACTTCCAACAGTCTGGTCTGTTGAGACGTAGCTGCAGGAAAGATGGACTACATGCAAACACACGAAGACAATTCCTATGTAGCTGTGACCATGTCCTCTGTCTCTGCGGCTGTAAATCTGTCCTCTGTCTCTGCGGCTGTAAATCTGTCCTCTGTGTCTCTACGGCTGTCAACCTGTCCTCTTTCTCTGCAGCTGCAAATCTGTCCTCTGTGTCTCTGCAGCTGTCAACCTGTCCTCTGTGTCTCTGCGGCTGTCAACCTGTCCTCTTTCTCTGCAGCTGCAAATCTGTCCTCTGTGTCTCTGCAGCTGTCAACCTGTCTTCTTTCTCTGCAGCTGTAAATCTGTCCTCTGTGTCTCTGCGACTGTAAATCTGTCCTCTGTGTCTCTGCAGCTGTCAACCTGTCCTCTTTCTCTGCAGCTGTAAATCTGTCCTCTTGTGTCTCTGCAGCTGTCAATCTGTCCTCTTTCTCTGCAGCTGTAAATCTGTCCTCTGTGTCTCTGCAGCTGTCAACCTGTCCTCTTTCTCTGCAGCTGTAAACCTGTCCTCTCTGTCTCTGCAGCTGTCAACCTGTCCTCTTTCTCTGCAGCTGTAAACCTGTCCTCTCTGTCTCTACTACTGTAAATCTGTCCTCTGTGTCTCTGCAGCTGTCAACCTGTCCTCTT